TGGCTTGTGTGTTGAGTGGTGACAGCACAGCAGAACTGAAATCTATTCAAATCTCTCAGTCTGTGTTGTCTGTCTCTGTTTGTGTCTCAGCGTCCGTCCGGGAACAGGCCAGGCACAGGTGTGGCTTCCCTCTCCCCTCCTCCTGGAGTCTCTCTGACTTTTTGCATATTTTTGTCTCCTCCTCTCCTCCATGGTCCTCTAAACACACACACACACACACACACTGACGCAAGCAAACCATCACAGACGGTCACTGCTTTTTCTTCAACATATTATTCATGTCACATAATTCCAGTGTCTCTCTCTCTCTCTCTCTCTCTGTGTCCTTTCTGTCCGTCCCATTGCACACTCACACAAACACTCTCTCTCTCTCACTCTCTCTCTCACACGCACACACACACACACACACAGTCTGTCTCTCTGTCTTCTTTCTGCACTGGGGGCTTTTTGCACATGGGCCCCTGTGCTCTTCAGCACAGACACGCACTGTCAGGGAAGCATCAGCATCATCAGCATCAGCAACAGCAACAGCATCAAACATATCAAACGTATTAGAGGGGACACTACTATAACAGGCTGGAGAGCCCTCCAAGAAAATCAATTAGCTCCAGCAACAGCAATCACCTTCATCATCATCACCTTCATCATCATCATCATCAGCAGCAGCAGCAGCAGACAGATTGTAACAAGAGTTGGTCAAATGTTTTAAACAGACATGGTCGTTAACACAAACCCACGGAGACATTTTTACCCGAGCAGAAAAGAATCCTCAGGACGAGTGAAGCAATCCAGGTCCATTCCCCGTTGTCTATCTTGTCTCTGTGACCACAGCACCATCTCCTTTTCTGTTTCTCTGTATCTTTCTGTGTCTCTCATCCAAACATCCACAGCGACGCACAGCAGAGCAGAACACAACAGGGACGCAGAGGGTGAAGAATACTCACTGAGTCCGCCGCCAAAGAGAGAATGAGGGGAAGGACCGAGGACAGACTTTAGAGGGAGCTGACTGTCGACATGTCGCTCTCATTCAGCCGCACTCTTCTCCTCTCTCCTCTCTCCTCTCCTGTAGGGGCTGAGGCGGATGGGAAGAGATGGAGGGAGTGAGGGAGGAAAGGAGGGAGCAGAGCAAGAGGGGGGACGTGATAAGACTGCAATGAGGTGGACGATAAAAACAGAGAGAGAGAGAAGGAGAGAGAGGGGGGGAGGAGGAGGGAGAGAGCTTTAGGATGCAGGTCCGCTTCTTCTCCACAGTGCAGCCCGTAGGAGCTGCGGCACCGCGCCACTGTACCGGCGCGCAGTGGGTGCGTTGCGCACGACTTTATTTTTTCTTGGGTGGTGGGGACAGATTTGCGCAAGTGAGATCGGAGATTCCCCCTCGCTCTGATTTCTCTCTTCACCTCAAACACAACTGAGTTTCTTACAGGAGAGGAGATGGGATGGATTAGGATGACGGCGAGAAGGATGAAGGCGCAACTAACTGACGCGCAACTGCCCGGGTTTCCAGCAGGAGGAGCAGCAGGAGGAGCAGCCGGCTGAGTTCCTCACCCATAATCAGATCACAACAGAGTCACTGAATTTTCTCCTCACGTTGTCCGCCTGTGCACTCTGCCTCAAAAAGCCCCGGCCGCTCAGCCATACCGAAAAAATAATTTATAATCTCATTAGTTTATTCATCTCTCCTCCTCCTCTCGCCCCGAAGCTCCGACCGACGGATTTCGTGAAACCTGTGTTTGTTACCATGGAGACTCGTGCCAGCTGGCGCACTCGCGCGCACACGCACTGCTATTCTTAATAGAACACTTTCCTAACTTGCACTAATTTTGTAAATCTCGACCAAACCCTCGTCTTTTACAGTCTGGAACTTTCCGGACAGGAACTTCCTAATGATGACCACCAGGAAGAGAAAACTCACACTGATAAAAGTTAGAAAGGTCGTTTGTCCAGCTCCGAAAACAAATCAAAGACTAATCAGGAGGAAACGTATAGTACATTTGCGTCTCAGTGCTGCCCCCTTCAGTATTTCCTCACTTGACCTTTCCAGATAGTTTGAGTTTTTAAGAGTAAAAACTCTCAGAAGTCATAATAACAACATATAAGTGACAGTGATTGAACCCAAAGGTTGTCAGCTAAGGTTCAAATCCTAAAGCAAAGAAAACTGTAGGTCAAGGGTCAGACTCCAGACCACAGTGTAGGTTATTACCTTCTGTCGTCTGTATGGATAAAACCCTGGTGTGTGGACCCCAGTGTGTCACTTACCTCTACAGCTGTGGGCAAACATTTCTGAACATGAACAGTGGTGGTACGTTCTCTGTGTCTGTGTTACTGTTTCCTCTGAATCAATCATTGGTGTGAATGTGAGTGTGAAGTGTTGTCTCTGTCTTTGTATGTGTCCAGTCCCAGAACTGTCCACTTTGATGACACATTTGTGTTTCATGCTCCCCCTTCAGGGGAGGAAGAGGAAGTTTTGTGTGTTGTTTTTTTTTTCTTTTTTTTTTGTAAGAAGGAACTCAAATATGCTATTTTTTTGTTATACTCTCCTTTAACTAGAACCAAACCTCACTTTTTTCGAAAGGTGTACAGACAGAAAAGGAACTGTGTTCCTTTTTGTGTTCACACTCTGAGTTCTTTTCAAAGAGGACCTGGTTTCTCTTTTTGATCCATGTCAGCTCTGACGGAGCCTCAGTCTTCTTTCTTGGCTGCTTTCATGTGAGTTTTGGAGACAGAAACGCCGTCCAAAAGATAGGAGGCTGAGCTGAAAGTGTCAGAAATAAAGATACAGGAGATTTTTATGAGATGTGACCAGAATGGACAGGATTAGAAATGAACACATCAGAGAGCCGGCTAAGGTTGAGCAGTTTGGAGATAAAGTTAAAGGAGCAAGGTTGAAATGGTTTGGACGTGAGCCGAGGAGAACCAGTGAATAAATCAGACATTGAATGTTGAAGATGAAGCTGCCAGGCTGGAATACAAGAGGTACGACCCTGGGAAGATTCATGGCCGCAGTTGAGGAGGACCTGAAGATATTTGTTGTATCTGTAGAGGAGAGGGCAAGAGTTACCGTGTGACATGGAGGCAAATGATCTGCTGAGGAAACCCCTGATGGCTGCAGCCAACGGGAGGTGTTGAAGGAGACATTTGTTAGAAATTACACTCTGTCTCATTACTACAAAACTTTCATCCCCCGATTACAGTCCTAACAAGATTTTCTAACAGGAAATGTCCAGAAGGGTGTGTGTGGGCCTGGAGGCCTGAAAGTCCTCTATTGAAACACCTGTCCTACCAAATGGAGGTGGCGGGTGCAACAGATGCTACTTAGATTGAGGGCAATCTGCCCCACCACCATCACACAGCTTCCTCCAGCAGCTAATCACAGCCTGCTGCTGCTGCTGCTGCTGCTGCTGCTGCTGCTGCTGCTGCTGCTGCTGCTGCTGCTGCTGCTGCTGCTGCTGCTGCTGCTGCTGCTGCTGCTGCTGCTGCTGCTGCTGCTGCTGCTGCTGCTGCTGCTGCTGCTGCTGCTGCTGCTGCTGCTGCTGCTGCTGCTGCTGCTGCTGCTGCTGCTGCTGCTGCTGCTGCTGCT